AGTGGAGGTTCTGGTCCAATAACAAGAATCCTGAATTCAATTCGGGATGAGCACATCATCCACTGTTTATTACTCTATGTGCGGTTCATTTTACGGATGCGCATTGGACAAGACGCTTTACATATCAAACACACCAACAAGATTCCATCGTCATGCGCCTACACAAAGTCTATCACCGGTTCTCTGTCCTTTCCCTCACTTCACCCCCTTTTCTTCCTCATCCATCTTCAACCCTCTTCTCTTCTTATTCCCCATCTTTTCTCTCTTCCAAAAGCTGTCGAATTTCATCATCAACACCGCCTTCCACCCGCAACCCTTTTCTTCAAACCATGTCTACCTCACGATTACACAATCTTGTCCCTCTTGCAGCAATCGCTACCGAAGACGCTGCTGGTCCTAATGGGTCAACAGCTACGCCTGAAGATGATGGTACTTGTTTTTCGATATTCATCTGAATTAATTCTTCTTGGAAGCACTGGTTATTAAATTGGATAATCGATTGTAATCGGATAGTTTTGTTTTTAACTCTCCAGTCTCCAACCAAAGTATAGGAAATTCCATTTAGATTCAAATCATCGATTATGAGTTGTGAGTCTGCTCTGAAAATTTGGTTTGTAGCCAAGAAACTGGAATTCAAGGATTCTGCAAACTGCTGACTGCTGATTGCTTATGTTGATAGATGTGTTCCAAGTAAAAAACAAGTGAAATACTCACTCCCACCTTGCCTTTGGTGCTAGGCTAGTTACAGTTTAATCTATATAATAGGGAGACTGCTTAGATTGGAATAAAATCCATACAAGTCTTGCATATAAAGTCAAAATCTTGTTCTCAATCTGCTCTGATACTGATAGTTTCAGACCTGGTGTAGGCAATCGATTGTAGTGGCTATTGCACACAATTTGAACTTTGTTAAATTCACTAACGACTTGTTTTTAACATGCTTATGGTTTCATTTGGTATTTGAGAAGTTGGCATCAGTTTGCAATGGAGTTGACTAACAGTCTGTTTCTCATTTTGAATGTGCAATCAGAATTAAACAGTGGATACCGTCTTCCTCCAGCAGAGATCAGAGATATTGTTGATGCTCCACCACTTCCAGCTTTATCGTTTTCTCCACAGAGAGATAAAATTTTATTCTTAAAGCGAAGATCCTTACCTCCATTGTCAGAGTTGGCGAAACCAGAGGACAAGCTTGCAGGCGTTCGTATTGATGGGAAATCTAATACCTGCAGCAGGATGTGGGTGATAAGGATGCTTGTTCTTGCTTATTGTTAATTTGTAATTGTAATACAGTGTCAACTTTTTTATGCTGCCTGCTTTCATGTGGACTGGTTGATAGATGAATAATTATTTTTGGTTGTTTGCATGTAGGTCATTCTATACTGGTATTGGGATCCATGGTTTAAGGGATGATGGCACATTAGGCCCAGAAAAATTGATACATGGCTTTCCAGATGGATCTAAACTCAATTTTGTTACATGGTAACCTTGGAATTTGAAGAGACTAATGTTATTCTGTGTTGTGTCATTTTCTAATTAATTCCATTTTTGTTTGTTAATGTTAGGTCAACTGATGGTCGGCATTTAGCCTTCAGCATTCGGGGGCAAGATCAGGTAATGGCTGTTTCAAAATGAAGCACCATGATTATAGCTGATTTGGCAACTAGAAAATAGTTATATCCAGTCTATTATTTGATGAGCCTGATGAGTGAAACAGGAGGAAGAGGATGATGTTGGCAGCAAGCTGAGAGTCTGGGTTGCAGATGTGGAGACAGGAAAAGCTAAACCCTTGTTTCAGTCACCGGATGTGTTCCTGAATGCAATCTTTGACAAGTATGGATCATCTTTAAATATTATATTTTATATCTTGTTTGGTAAATATTAAAATGTTTGTTTTGAATTTTGATTGGCAGTTATGTGTGGGTGAATGATTCGACTCTGTTGGTTTGTACAATCCCAGCATCCAGAGGAAAGCCACCAAAGAAACCGTTAGTCCCCTCTGGTCCTAAAATCCAATCCAATGAGCAGAAAACTGTTGTTCAAGTTCGAACCTTCCAAGATCTTCTTAAAGATGAATACGATGAAGATCTGTTTGAGTATTATGCCACCTCTCAGCTTCTTTTGGTTTCTTTAGACGGGAGTGTGAAATTATTTGGGGAGCCTGCTCTATACACATCACTTGATCCCTCCCCTGATCAGAAATACATTTTACTTACTTCGCTTCATAGACCCTTCTCTTTTACTGTCCCATGTGGAAGATTTCCCAAAAAGATTGATCTGTGGTCTGCTGCTGATGGAAAGATTTTGAGGACACTTTGTGATTTGCCTGTTGCTGAGGACATCCCAATTGCTTTTAACAGTGTCCGAAAAGGCATGCGCTCCTTGAACTGGAGGGCAGATAAGCCTTCAACTCTCTACTGGTATGTAATATGTAATATGTAATAACTTATTTGAAAACCTTGAAAATTGTGTTATATTATATAATAACTACTTATATTAATTATATTTGGGTAAAGGGTGGAGACACAAGATGGAGGTGATGCCAAAGTAGAAGTTTCTCCTCGTGACATAGTCTACACACAGGCTGCTGAGGGTGAAGACCACCCAAACATCTTTCATAAGCTTGATCTTCGCTATGGGTATGTTTTTTTATTATTATTTTCCTTTGGCATAAGTTTATCTAGTCATATTTTTTTCAATATCTGCAGAGGAATAAGCTGGTGTGATGATTCGCTTGCATTGATATATGAATCTTGGTACAAAACACGACGTGTAAGAACCTGGTTGGTCTCCCCTGATAAATCATCCAATGAGAATCCTCCAGCTCCACGTCTGTTGTTTGATAGATCATCTGAAGATGTGTACTCTGACCCTGGTTCTCCCATGCTGCGGAGAACTCCTGATGGGACTTATGTTATTGCCAAGTTCAAGAAGGAGGATAAACAAGCCACATACCTGTTGCTAAACGGAAGTGGTGCTACCCCAGAAGGAAACATACCTTTTCTAGATCTGTTTGACATGTAAGTAAAGTCTTATTAGTCGATTATGCATCATATTTCAAAACATCTGAATCTGAATCTGAATCTGATATGTGAGTATGTGACACAGAGATACGGGTGAAAAGGAGAGAATATGGCACAGCGACAAGGAGAAGTATTATGAGAGTGTGGTGGCTCTGATGTCGGACCAGAAGGAAGGAGAGTTGCAGGTGAATGAGCTGAAGGTCCTGACTTCCAAAGAGTCTAAAACTGAAAACACACAGTATTACATACAGAGATGGCCGGAGAGGAAAGCATGCCAAATCACAAGGTTCCCGCATCCATACCCTCAGTTGGCTTCATTACAGAAGGAAATGGTGAGGTACGAGAGAAAGGATGGAGTCCAACTGACTGCAACTTTATACCTGCCACCCGGGTATGACCCCACACGAGACGGGCCTCTGCCTTGTCTGGTGTGGTCGTATCCCGGAGAGTTTAAAAACAAAGAAGCAGCTGGACAGGTTCGTGGCTCTCCTAATGAGTTTGCAGGCATAGGCCCAACATCACCACTGCTTTGGCTCGCAAGGAGGCATGCACCCTCTCCTCTCTCTTTTTATATTTTGTAGTATTTCGATGAATCTTTTGTTTTTTCAGGTTTGCTATATTATCCGGGCCAACAATTCCCATCATTGGTGAGGGAAAGGAAGAAGCAAATGATAGGTACTTTCTAGATCCTTGTTTTAATTTCTTATAGAGAGTAACTTATTGGTGGGTGAGCAGGTATGTTGAGCAGCTTGTTGCAAGTGCAGAGGCAGCAGTGGAGGAAGTCATCCGCCGTGGGGTAAAAATCAAATCAAATCTTTCTGAACAGAGTGAGATGTTTGATTGGCTAAACTGGAAATGGTATGTATGTGGTTCAGGTGGCTCATCCAGGCAAAATTGCAATTGGGGGACATTCTTATGGGGCGTTTATGACAGCAAATCTGTTGGCACATGCCCCTCATCTTTTCAGTTGTGGCATTGCTCGCTCAGGAGCTTACAATAGAACACTTACACCTTTTGGGTTTCAGGTAAGACAGACAGACAGACACATGGCAGACTTTGATTTGGTCTTTGGTTGCTCGTAATTTATAATTTATTATGTTGAGTAGAATGAGGATAGAACCCTCTGGGAAGCCACTGATACTTACATCAAGATGAGTCCTTTCATGTCTGCCGATAAGATTAAGAAGCCCATCCTGCTTATCCATGGAGAAGAAGACAACAACTCAGGAACACTGACAATGCAGGTGGGATTGGCTTTTATGACCTCATCAACCATATATATAATCCTCTCCTTCAACTTGTCTCTGCTGTTGTTTGTAAAGATCTTATCTTTTTTTTTTTGGTGCAGTCGGATCGTTTCTTCAATGCGTTGAAGGGGCATGGGGCACTCTCTCGCCTAGTCGTTCTACCGTTTGAGAGTCATGGTTATTCATCACGGGAGAGCATAATGCATGTCCTTTGGGAGACAGATAGGTGGCTACAGAAATTTTGTGTTTCCAACTCTTGTGAAGAAAAAGAAGATGCTGATGAAACCAAAGCAACTGTTGCCTCTGGTGGTGGTGCAGTTGCAGAGATTGAAGACATTGGAGTTGATACTCTTCATTACAATACAAGATCATCACTTTGGTAATTTCTGTGCTCATTATACAATTTGTAGTCAGAAACAACCAGTATGGCTGTATGTCCTATTGGTTTTTTGACATATTGCATGTTTCAGACCTCTCTGGTTTGGGTCGGAGCTGACAGGGTCCATTGTTATTTGAAGAAAATTGTTGGCATGCTGTTTAGCTCTTAACAAAAACATGATATGGCTGACAATTCTTCTGCTTGATGTTGTACAAGATGTGAAGGGAAGGCTACTGTTGTAATCAATCCATCATAAAACAAAAACCAACTTTGTAATAATGTATGTATTTCATATTCTTTCGGCAATGTGGATTTATCTACATTGTTGGATGCAAAGATTCAAAAAGTTCATCTAATTGATCCAGCTGCCGGTCAAGACATTTCCATCTTGAGGATTGGTTCAGTTTGTTCACAAGTGATGGGAAACATCGGATTTGTGTCGGAAGGTTCAAAGTAGCTTTTCCATATGATTTTGTAGAAGCATAAACTGGAATGTAAGCCCCATGATCAAATAGGTTACTAGGGTCCAGTTGCCGGTCAGCCGGAGCTCAAATAGTTAAGGACATGCCAAAGCCTAGGTCCAAAGTAACAAAGCCCATGTTAATACATGGCTGTATGCATTATAGATATAACTAGAAGCTGCCAGTCTTCATCCATATTTTATTTTAGATGAAAATAGCATATGATACTCACTACGTAACATGCGATGTTTAAAAGGCGTTGTACTGAAAAATTACACGATGATATTTTCTGTAAATTACGGGAACAACTTTTGTAATTTTTTTAAATATAGACCGTTTCTGTAAAAAAAATACACAAGAACATTTTTTACAAATTACGGGGATAATTTTTGTAATTTATTTTCTACACAGGTCAAACCTGCCAAGATACAAAAATCTTAGACATGGAATGTTTTTGTAAAAAAAAAAAAAAAAAAAAAAAAAAACTTTACAATGGTCTTTTCTGTAAATTAAAAAATTAAAGGAACTAAATCTGTCAAAATCTAAATTTTTTGTGGCAAAACTTCAAAAATACAAGACATTATTGTTCATAGGCACTTTGGTATTTATTCTATAGAGTAATGGACTATAGAGTAATGGACTGTAAGTATGAGTGACCTTGGTATCGAAACTAAGAATACTGAAACCGAAAATATGATTTTGTGGGTATCGTATACCAACTGATAGATACCATATATACCATATGGTACTGGTTTCGATAGATATTATACTAGTACCAGCTCTTCCTATCATAGTATCAATTTTCCGTGTGCAACAATTCATATTTGAGGTTGTAGAATTTAGGCTCATTTGCAACGATACAGAAAATAGGAAGTTCTTGACTTGGACTTGAAGTATATCATATGAGAAAGTTATGAATGTTTAAAATTGAAGGTTTTTTTTTTTGGAGTATATTTTGTTAAGAAAAGAAACCAAGTTTGAAAAGTTTAAGTTTTTTAAGTAGCTATGTTTAGGGCTATGTAACTTAAGTTATATGAGAAGATTTATGAGTGTTAAAAGTTCATGAATTTTTTTGGCAATTGGAAATTTAAGTTTTTAAGTATCCATTTTTTGAGCTGTGTAACTGTGGTTATACTTATCCAAATTAGTTATTCTTAAGCCTAACATTTAGCCAAGATAAAGAAGAACATGTAGGAAGAAAAATTAGCACATTCGGAGATTGTATGCAAGAGTTATGATGGTCCAAATATACTCATTTGGGGTTTAGGATGTCCCTTTAAATTTTGCTTGTACATAAGCAACCCAAGACACATTGTATTGCTAATCCCAAGAATCAAAACGTTTGATTTAGTGGAACCGAGTACCGACCTATATGTAGGGGGGATCTAGTATGTAGCACGGGGTAGTACGGGCTACCCTCATATTTTCCCATCAAATGTAAATTTAATGAAAAATCGTTGAAATTCGTCATAAATCCTTCACAAATCTGTCGGAAATCAGTCAGAAATCCATTACAAATCTGAAATATGAATTTAATGTAAATTCGTCGGTTTAGTGACGAGTTTCTGACGAAACCACCGCCGGAAATAAGTTTTTTTCCTAGTAGTACAACTCCTAAATAATTTGTTTAACCCTTGATTTTTTTTTTCTGGGTCTGCCACTGCCGATATGTAGATATACTGTATCGGTTTGGTTTGGTACTATTAGGATTTTTGCTCACTCTAATTGTAATAACGTTCTACATTACGTGAGGTGTGGCGTGACACTAAAGTCTAATCTCAAGCTTTACGAGTCATGGCTTGGACACTATGTCAATATGTAACTTAAAGCGACAATTTTGTGTGCGTGTGTGTGTGTGTGTCTATATATATATATATATATATATATATATATATATATATATATATATATATATATATATATTTAACGTATCCCACCGGGAATACGTCAAAAATAGCGGAACCGTCAGTATGATAGACGGTTTGGGCAAAGACCGACGTATGCCTAACGTCGGGTCCTCGCTTTGGGGATCCCACATTCATTCCTTGGCGTCCAAGCGCCAAAGCCAATGTCAAGACAAAATAGTACCAACCGCCTCTCAGAGCGACAGGTGTAGCGCTCAGAACGTTGCTCCTGGCAACCCCGCACCAATGGCAAACGACTACTCGCAGAGCACGATCTACAATCAAAGGCCGTCTATCCCTACCAACCCTGAAAAAGGTAAAAGATATTTTCGGGGATCTATTTCCCCGACCACAGGTATAAAAAAGTCCCTTCTCCTCCAAGAGAAGGGATCAAGAGAAGAACCTTTAAACCCTTGCCTAACACTTTTTTACCTTCTCTCTAAGAGACGAACTGACGTGAACGTCGGAGCTTCGTTCCGGGACTGCCTTCCGGACGGAGACTGACGATCTTGTTTCATTTGCTATGATTCTCAGGCCCTTCATTCCACCCTTCAAAGAAACGGAGTCAAGCCGGAGACATATCACAACAATTAGTGCCATCCGTACGTGCACCCAGTATGATAGAACCCGATAAACAACAATACGTGTCTATGATGGTAAACACCAGACTTACACCGTCACAAAACGACACCACCGACCCCGCCAGAGAAACGCTGCCAACCAGCAGACTTGGCCGCCTGGCGCCAAGCATTGGGCCGACCAGCGCCGTCAAGGAAATTGCGATGAGTGTAGGGTGCCCGCCGCTTACCTTTCTAGTTAACAAAAAGCCGACATCAGTAAAACAACAACGGTAGGACGGAGTGCTTACGATCAACATACCATACAAGAAACGCGAGCGACATGAGGCAAACCACAACGTCAAACTGCTGACCCGACAAATCAACATCATCAATATCTCCATAGAAGACCTGAGACCGCAAGATTGGAGCCCCAGAGACCCGCTCTCATAACCGCATGCATACGTCACAAACAAATCCATCGAGTCTACATAGATAATGGCAGTAACACGGATATCCTGTATGAACATTGCTTCCGGCAATTACCAGAGTCCTGGAAGGAAGAATTGAAGCCCCCAACAGGTGGACCTCTAGTCGGTTTCACGGGACACAACCTATGGCCCCTCAGAACAATACACCTCCCACTAACACTAGTCAGCCACGACGGTAGAGTGAGGGAGAGAGAGAGAGAGAGAGAGAGAGAGAGAGCAGGAAACGAACAATCGAATTCTCCGTGATACGCCAGCCAGCAGAACAAAACATACTGTTAGGACGCCCGACGCTCTTCGAGCTGGAAGCTGTGCTGTCAACAATTCACGACACAGTAAAATTTGGCACACGGTCCGGATCAGCAACCATTGTCGCCGACACTCCGCACAAGCGGACGTGTCACCAAATCATGGGGGCATCATACCTGGTCAACGCCCCCAAGAAATCTAAAGCAGACCACCCACTAGAAAACCACGTAATTATAACGCCTAGTTCCTGGTATGTATTTAATTGTTGATTTATTCACTTTTGTATAGAAACTCGACGAGTTGGAGGCCCCAAACTCGTCGAGTAGGAATGGAAATTGGACGCGGGATGTGAAGTCTACTCGACGAGTTGAGAGCCCCAACTCGACGAGTAGGACTGGCAGAGTGAAACCTTAATTTTCAGGGTTTTGCACCTTATTTAAACACCTTAATCTCCAAAGGCTGGCCTCATTTACAACCTCCAAGTCCCAAACCCTAAATCTCGAAACCCTAATGCCTTGTGTGAGCTTGTGAGTCGTTTTTTAGAGAAAACTTGTGCATGTGAAACTTTTGGAAGAAGAAGAAGCTTGAGGACTCAAGAGGAAGTGAGTAGATCCAGAAACTTCACTCTATTTGCAGCATTTTCTGGTAAGCAAGTCTCAAACTTGCTTAATGATTACTTAGATCTCTTCATCTTCACTTTTATTGGGTTTTGGTCCAAGTAGCATGGTCCTTGGGAAATGGACGTGTAACGACCAAAAAAAACAGGGGTAAAAATTTCATTTTTAATCCAACCCAAACATAGATACCATTTATTCCAAACATTCCAAAACAGTGTTAATCAGAAACATTTATCATAGTTCGTCCCAAAATCATTCATTGCGGAAATCATAGGTGTGTGCACTGCGATCAATCTGATCCCTTCATTTCCAAATCGATGCAACCTGAAACCAAAACTGTAAACCGTAAACACAAAGCTTAGTGAGTCCCCCAGAGCATACCCCACACACATTTCACATAACACATATCGTATTAGCTGTAAAAAGCTATCTCTACCGTTATCACATATCAATCAGCTATAAAAGCTACTCTACCACATATCACATATCAAATAGCTATAAAAGCTCTCTCTACCATTAGCACTTATCAATTAGCTATAAAAGCTACTTCTGCCACATATCACATATCAAATAACTATAAAAGCTATCTCTACCATTGGCACATATCAATTAGCTATACAAGCTATCTCTACCGTTAGCCACAAAGGCTATCTCTACCATTAGCCACAAGGCTATCTCTACCATCAGCCATAAAGGCTGTCTCTACCATTAGCCACAAGGCTATCTCTACCATCATCCATAAAGACTGTCTCTACCATTAGCCACAAAGGCTATCTCTACCGCACATCACGCATACATACATATCACACACCTTTACATAGCAAGTATACCAACTATCATAAAATGGGCCGGCCTTGGTGCCTTAGACCCATTGGTATGGTGAGAAGACTCACCTGGCACTGCTGAAGCCCCGCAGATAAAACTCCCCTTGCTGGTTGACAGATTCTCGAACTGTCAACATCAAACAATACCCAATTAATAATTGGGTTCCAACACATAACCACAACTCTATACTTGGGGTAAAAGACTACTTTACCCTAACTCAGCTTTATTCTATTCAAGGCCCAATTCAAAGCCCAAAAGCCAAACCATGGACTAAAGCCCAACACATGGCCCAATTTTCCAAATTGGGCCCAAACCTCTATATAGGCTTATCTTAAGGCCCAACCACTTATTCCAGTCCAAATGATTGGCATTCTGATGGTCCAATAGATGATAGTCCTCAAGGCCCACTTATGGCCCAACTTTCCAAATTGGGTCCAAGCCTCTCTAATGGGTCCTATCCTAAGGCCCAAAGATTTCTTTAGTCCATAACATGTTCTCAATTGGCCCAATAAGAACCCAAATCCAATTTAGGGTTTCACACATAAAA